CTATTCCCAAAATAGAAGGACATCTCCTGTGAGGTCAATATTAATCTGATACGCAAACCAGACAAAGGCAACCCAAGAACGCTGGGAATCAATCTTTTATTAAGTACGAACATAAAAATTCTAAACAGCAACATCAAAAAAAAACCTATCAAACTGAATCCAACTAGTTAATGAAAGAATTACACATCGTGACCAACTAGGACCAGAAATGCAAGGTCGATTTAACAACTCAAAATCAACTAATGTAACATATCACAGCAACAAAAATAAAAAAGACCACAAGCACATTTCAAGAAACACACAAAAAGCATCTGCCGAACCCAGGATCCCTTTTGATTAAACGGGCACACCAAAACAGGACTAGGCAAGGACTTCCTCAGCCCGAGAAAGGGCATCCGTGAGGGAGCCTGTGGTGGTGAAGTCTTATGATCAGGAACAAGCAGGGCTGATGGTCCTTGCCACTCCTACTCAAGTGTACCAGGGAGTCGAGCCAGGGCAAGCAAGCAAGCAAGGAAAGAAAGAAAGGAGATCCCAACTGGAAGGGAAGAAATCAAACTACCTCTGTTCACAGATGCCGTGATCTCGTATGTGGAGAAGCCTAAGGAACCCACTAGAAAGCAAATAAATGAGTTAAGCGAAGCTGCAGGATACAGTATCAACACACAAAAACAGACTGTAGACACAGACACCTGTATGAACATTAGTTAAATGAAGTTCAGAGAACAACTCCAAGTACAACAGCATAAAAAAGGATAAAACACTGGGAAACAAATTTAACAAAAGTGTAAAACTAAGGGCAGGTGTTTGAGGCAGTGGTTAAAATGTCACTTAAGATGGCCGCATGTCCCACTGGGTCCCTGGGTTCACGTCGTGGCTCCGCTCCCGATTCCCGCTTTCTGCCAATGCAGGCCCTGGCAGGCAGCAGTATGGCAGTCAGGTTCCTGCCACCCGCATGGGAGACCTGGATGGAGTTCCCAGCTCCTGGGCATTTCGGGAGTGATCCAGCAGGTGGGTGATCTGTCTCTCCCATCCTCTCTGACTTTCAAATAGCTTTTAATTTTTAAGCGTAAAACTTATATCCTGAAAACTACAAAATAACCAAAGACATTTAAAAAGATCGAAATAAATAGAAACATCGTACATTCATAGAGGACAGACAATACTGGTAAGAGAGCCAGTACTTCCCAAATTCATCACGGATTTGGTGCAATCTCTATCTAGCTGACGGCTTTGTAGAAACTGACAAGCTGGAGTCGGCTTTTGGTGTAGCAGTTAAGACACTGTTTGGGACATGTTACATCCCACACTGGACTGCCTGGTTACAATCCCAGCTCCCCCAGTGCTGATCCAGCTTCCTGCTAACACATACTCTTTGAAGGCAACAGGCAATGGCTCAAGCACTAATGTCCCTGCCACCTGTGTAGGTGGGAGACCCAGATTGAGTTCCAGGCTCCTGGCTTCAGTCTGGCCCAGCCCTGGCTGCTGCAGGCATTTGAAGGGTCAACCCGTGAACGAAAGAGATCTGTTTATTTCTGTCTCTCTTGCCTTTCATATGAAAGCAACAACAAAAATTCTCGACAAGTTGATGCTAAAATTCATAAGAAATTGAAAGGAACCCATGACAGACAAAATAACATTGAAAAGACAAACAGTTGAGGGCACATACTTCCCGGCTTTAAAACTCACCACAAAGAAATGATAAGACCCTGTGGCACTGACACAAGGACAGACGCATAGGTCAACAGCACAGAACTGAGGATCTTAGAAATATACCCAACATGGTCAACTGGTTATAGGTGTCAAGATCACTCAAGGCTCAAAGAATAACCTTTATGACAAATGGCGCTGGGACAAGCTATAGCCACACCCAAAAGAATGAACTGGACTCCTACCTCACAGCATAAATAAAAATTAGCCCAAAATGGACCAAAGACAAAAAAAAAATACGAGCTAAAATTTTAAAATTCTTAAATAAAAACAGGATAAATCATCACCTCAGATTTGCAAGAGTTTCTTAGATATGATATAAAAAACAAGAGCCTGGGCCAGGGCTGTGGCATAGGTGACACTGCCTGCAGCGTGGGCATCCCATAAGGGTGCTGGCTCAAGTCCCAGCTGTTCCACTTCTGATCCATCTCCCTGCTAAGGCACCTAAGGAAGCAGTGGAAGATGGTCAAGTTCTTAGGCCCCTGAACCCATGTGGGAGACCCAGAAGAAGCTCCTGGCTCCTGGCTTTGGCCTGGCCTGGTTCCAGCCATTGTGGCTATTTGGGGAGTGAACCAGCAGATGGAAGATCTCTCTCTCTCTCTCTCTCCATTTGTGATTTTCAAATAAGTTAAAAAAATAAAATAAAATAAAAAAAACCATGAGCTAGAGGGCAGGTGCAGTCTGAGTTACAATACCTGCATCCCCCATCACAGAGGCTGGGTCTGTCATTCCTGCTCTTGACTCCAGCCTCCTGCTAATGCAGACCCTGGAAGGCAGCGGTGATGGCTCAAGTCATTGTGTTCCTGCTACCCCCACTGGAGGACCTGGACTGTGTGTGTCTGGATTCCTGCCTCTGGGCCTGGCCCAGCCACGGCTGTGGCAGGCACTGGAGGAGTAAGCCAGCGGATGGCAGCTCTTCCTCTGGCTCTCTCTCCTTGCAAATAAAGAAACAGCCACAAGCAATTACAGAACAGACGCATTGCACTTCATGAAAGTTCAAAACGTGTGTGCTTGAAAGGATTCTATCAAGAAGGTAAAAAGACAAACCAGAGTCAGAGAAAACCTCTACAAACTACATCTGATAAGACTTGCACCTAGAATAATACAACAAACTTCCACAAGTTCTTAAAAAGAGGAAAACAATGGGCAAAGGATCTGAAGAGGTATCTGTTCAAAGAAGACATACAAATGGCCACTAGGCACATGACAAGAGGCTCAACACCATTGGCGACCCAGGAAATGCGAAGCAACACCACACTGAAACCCCACTTACACCCAGTAGGCTGGCTAGAATGAAACACTCTGAGAGTGAGTGTTGCCGAGGACGTGGGAACACTGGAACCCCCACGCTCTGCAGCCTCCTATGGAAACGGTCTGGCAGACCCTCAGTGACACAATCAGGACCCCAGCAATCCCAGCCTGTGTACACACCCAGCAGAAATGAGAACACCCGTCTGTATGAAAGCTCAGAACCAATGCTCACGGCAGCATTACTGGTTAATAACCGAAAGGACTACGGGTGGGTGAATGAACAAAACGCAGCACGTGCAGATAGTGGAATATTTTTGACCGTAAAAAGAAATGAGGAAGACAGGCCCAACACAATGGGCCTCAGAAACACCACACTCGGGGACTGAGGCCTGCCACTGAAGACCTCTCGCTGCATGATCCCATTTATGGCCACGGCAGACATATCTACAGAGACGTCAGTGACTGCTGAACGCTGGGACAGGGTGCATATGAGTGTGTGTGCGACAACAGGAAGGTGACGGTTACATTGCCTGAATTCATTTTTGGGATAATGGCTGCATCCACCTGTGAATCTACAAAAACCCACCAAACTGTATGTGTAAATGGGTTAATTGCATGGTAGCAAATAACACCTCAATAAAGGTGTTGTGAAGATCACAACAGAAGCCCGCCAGAGGACACAGTGGCTGCCCCGGACACAGGCTCCCACCAGCCTCTCTAGTTTGCCCAAACCCCCACTACTCCCTGCTACCCACCACGGAAGCAAAGTGTCTCCAGGTTTATTTCTCACACTCGATGCATTTCCATCCCTTAGTCCGCACCTGTCCCAACCTATGGGCAATTCAATTCTGCGATCCCTGTGTTAGGACAGTCAGTGCGTGCAAAAAGCCAGAGAAACGGAACTCTATGACAACCCATTATCAAGGGAACCAACCCACTCCCATGACTGGCATGAGTCTGTTCCAAGGGCTCCCGTGCCCTAAGCTGCACCCCTCAATAGTTCCTCTATCCCAGCCTGTCACACTGGGGACCGAGTTTCCAGCACAGGAATCTTCAGGGGCCTCTCAGACCACAGCCAAACCCAGGGCATCCGTCATGCAGATGTGCAGACATTTAAGATAATATCGTTTGTTTGTACTTTTTTATTTTGTACTTTGCCATCTATTTAAAAAAAAAAAGTTTTAGGGGTCAGATTACGGCATAGTGGCTTATGCCGCTGCCTGTGATGCTGGCATCCCATATGGGTGCTGGTTCGAGTCCCGCTGCTCCACTTCCAATCCAGCTTCCTGTGCCCAAGTGCTTGGGCCCCTGAGCCGATGTGGAAGATCTGGAAAAAGCTCCTGGCTGCCAGCTTCGTGCTGGACCAGCCCCGCCCCAGCCATTGCAGCCATTTGGGGAGTGAAGCAGCAAGATGGAAGCTCACTCTCTTCTCTCACTGTAACTCTACCTTTCAAGTAAATAAAGAAATCTTCTTCTACACTTGACCTTAGCCAAAAAGGCCAAGAAGCGATGAAAATACTTTTCTAAAAAAAGTTTTAAACAATTCAATTGCTCTTAGAAGAAAATGGCTAAAGTACAAACAACTACATACAAAATAATCAGCCAGCCTACACGGCACCCTGAGAAAACCAAAGGCAGGAAGAGAACAGAACCGCAGCCAGCAGGCGGCTCGCTCTCCGGACCACGGGTTCGGTTATGTCACTACTCAGGAGAGCAGGGAGAAGGTCAAGAGAGAATTGGAGAAATGGAGGAGCTGACCCCTCTCCTACTGGTGGTCTACTGCGTGGCTGGTGCTGGGCTCTCGTGAAGTCCTACTTGCCTCTTCATTAGAAGACTGATGGGAGGCACGGTTAGCTAACTAAGTGGTGCGGGCGGGCAGGCGGCCGGGTGCTGGGGACCCACTACAGACCACAGCACAGGACACAGGACATTTTGGACAGAATCAGGGAATCCAAAGCCCTCGCCAACAAAAGTGAATGTGATTAAGTGCCAGCTTGGAAATAATTAACCCACAAGCCACATGGGGTGGGGCTCAGGCTCACCGTGGCGACGGCCCCCGCCTCCTGGTAGGTCACCTCCACGATGTTGGCGGCGCTCGTGTTGAGGAAGAAGTAACCGGAGCCTTCTCGGATGTGCAGCTCGGCCTGCGGGAGAGAGACGTAGGCAGAGGACTGGGCTGCATGTGGAAGGGCAAGCGGAGCCTCTGCAGGAGGTAGCCATGCAAGGGCTGTACCTGGACTTGAGGGTGGTTGTAGATGGTCACGTCTTCTGGGCTCACTCTCACGTCCTCCACCAGAATGAGCTCCAGAGAGGCCGACACGGGCACAGGAGGGTCATCCTGAGGGCACAAGGCCAAGGCCGTCAGGTCCAGGAGGCCTGCCTCTCAGGAAGAGCAAGATACCTGGGACACCAGGCCCAATTAAACCACCAGGCTATGGTGTAGCAGGTAGGGCTGCCGCCTGCAGCACTGGCATCCAATATGGGCACCAGTTCAAGTCCTAGCTGCTTCATTTCAGTCCAGTTCTCTGCTGTGGCCTGGGAAAGCAGTGGAAGATGGCCCAAGTGCTTGGAAACCTGCATTCGCATGGGAGACTTGGAAGAAGCTCCAGGCTCCTGGCTTTGGATCAGCCCAGCTTTGGCCGTTGCAACCATCTGGGGATTGAACCAGGGGATAGAAGACCTCTCTCTCTCTCTGCCTCTGCCTCTCTGTAACTCTGCCTTCTAAATAAGTAAATAAATCTTTTTAGGAACACACACACACACACACACACACACACGCACACAGTGCTCCTGAGCCCAGCTGCACAGCCACCACCCCCGAGGCCTGCTTACCCAGGAGGCAAGCTGCAGCCTCCCCAGCTGCAGGACAGGAGGGGGTCACTGGCGTCCATCTGGAGCTGAGCCACCCCACCCCACCCCCACCCAGACCTTCCAGGCCTGCAAGCAGACAGGCAGCTGCAGCACCCGCAGCAGGTGCTAACGTTGGAGACTTGCGCAGTGACATCGGGGAGTGGGGAGGAGCCCCAGGGCGTCTTCACAGCTGGCCCCAGAAGATAGGGCCAGTTCTTGTTCCCTTGTGCGGTGCACAGAGTGACCTACCCCCGCTTCCTTCTCCTGTCACTGCAGGGAAACTGCGGGGCTCTGCAGCAGGCACCATGGGGGTACAAGTGTCCTCGGGGAGACTACGCAGATGCAAGGAAAAGAAAGGGCAAGCTGGTGACGGGAGGATGGTGGGTGGGCGGGTCACACGGGGACGGGTTACTGGCAGGAGGGTGGAGAACAACAGGGAGAGCAGCTCTCAGGTGAGCAGAAGCTCAGGGATGGAAGCCCTGGGCAATAGCAACACAGAGGGAAGCCCACAGGGCACAGCAGCCCCCGAGGCCAACATCCTATATTCCCAGGCCCTGGAGGCCCCAGCAAGGAAGTCCAGAGGCTACTCATAAGCCAGTGAGAACATAGACGAGATGAAGCAGCCAGGGACAGGGTGTGTACCCACTTGCCTCCTGACCAGCTATGTCTCTGCTGGGCCAGCAGGCAGTGACCTTGTGCATACAGCAGCCCGTGTGCCTGTGTGTGTGTGTGCTGTGGTCTTTGACACCATGAGTGTGGGAGACAGAGGGGCTCTGAGACGGGGCAGGAGCAGCTGCTCTGTGCCCAGGGTTCCAGGTGCTCCCACAGGGAGTGGCACTGCAGTAGCCTAAAAACAGCTGGATACTGGATGGAGGACAGGCAGAGGTGGCCTCTCAGGCAGTGGGCTCTGCAAGTTGCCAGGCACGACAGTGGGAAACACGTTGAGCACACAGGGTGAGGGGGAGGAGAGGCTGTGCAGGAGCTCTGAGTGAGGTGGCTCCTGAAGGTGTGCGCTGGAGCCCGGAAGTGGCACAGCCAGTTGGGCTTTCTGTGGGATCCCTGGGAGCCCGCGAGAGGGCGTGAGGGAGGGGGCACAATAACCCAGGAGCGCACACCCAGGGGGCGCAGTGGAGTAGGGACAGAGGCCCAAGGTCCCATGGGAAGCAAGAGCCCTTCTGGCCAGGCTGGCGGCCCTGCCACCCCCTGAGGCCCTAGGAGGTACCGGCTGCTTCGCTCTGGCTGCGTTGAGGTGGGACTGCTGGTAGCCAGCTGCGGTGGCCGAAATGGTGGTGGTTCCGGAAGCCTGGTGAACCACAACAGCCTGCAAACCTGCTTGGAGGAAGAGGGGAAGGGAGGCTAGGAGTCTGTCCCCTAGGGCACCATACCCCCTTCCGATCTGCAGTTTCCAATCCAGAAACCGAGAACTGAATTTGCAGATACCATGCAGCCCAGGAGTTCCCAGGCCCTGAGCAGCCCTGTGCAGCCCTCAGCAAAGTGCCGCAGAGTGGCTGGTGCGCAGGGGGGAGACGCCTCCAGTCTCGGTTGTCGAGGGTTTGTGACCTGGTCCAGAGAACAGCAGCCAGGCCGTGGAGCCCTTGGGGCTGCGGGCTGCCCTGCTGCATCGGGAGCCTCTGACTCCTGCCTCACGCAGTGCAGGATAAAGTAGCAGGTAAGCACACGGCACACTGGCACAGCTGTGGTGGAGGGGCGTTCCAGAGTAATGAGCTCCCCCCAGGCACCAGCCCACACTCACCCACTGGGGATTCATGACACCTGCCACTCTGCGCAAGGCCCTCGGCCCCTTCCCCGGCTCACCCTGCAGCTTCTTCTGTCCGCTCCCATCATCCTGGGACACCAGCTGCATAGGCAGGTCAAATTCGATGCTGGCCAGCCACGGCCGGGTGGACTCCCACTGGATGCTCAGAGAACTGAAGTTGTCGAATCGGCGGCCCTGCTGGTCGTAGGCAGCCAGGTCCAGCAGGGGGTTGCGGTGGCTGGAGACCGGCACCTGTGAGAGCCCAAGGTCAGACACCACAGCCATGGCCTGCGCTGGGCCTGGCCACTGCCGACCACACGGTGCATTCTAAAGAGGGCAGGCTGCCTTGTGGCCTCCTGGGGACCCTGTGAGTAAGTGGGGATGAGTCATGACTGCTGAACACCAAGGTGCCCCACAGCCCTGTCCATCCTGGCTCTGGCTCCAGCCTGTGGTTCCCAATGGACATGAGCACCCCTGCCACCCCCAGCAGCACTGGCAGGTGGCGCAGCTGGCATCTAGAAGGGTGTCAGGATGCTGTGATGCGCCCTACAACGGCAGGAGCACCCACCTCACCTGCTGCCCACTCTGCCCTCACTGTCCTCCACCCCAGGCACACTCAGTGCCTCCAGGACACTCCCCTGGTGGCTTAATAAGGGTATGAACCACAGGGTTCACAAAGCTCCAAGTTCTCACCTCACCCTGCAGAAGCAGTGAGCCGGGAGAGAGGCCATCCCTGTGTTAAGGATGAGCAGGCAGAGGTCAGGGGAGGAAACGAGGGAGGGCTAGGGAGGGGCATGCAAGTCTTGTGCGCAAATCCTGAGTTTCCCCGGAACAGTCTCCCCTCAGGCCCCAGGCTGAATCCCAGCCTCATCACTGCTGTGTCTATCCCTTCTCTCCTTGAGCAAATGGCATGGACGACAGGGGAGGCAACAGGATCCCACAGCTTCGACTGGACCCCAGCCCTACCCCTTACTGTTTGTGCAAGTTACCAAGTGCCCTGAGCCTGTGTCTCCAGCTGTGACCCAGAAGCACAAGGGAACCCATCTCCAAGGGTTTGTTCAGGTGGGGTCATGTGAAGTCACCTCAGAGAGGCTTGTAGCCATCAGCGCTTGAGGAGTGCAACGTGGGCCACCACGTGGCACACAGATGGGTCTGATTCCCTGGCCAGCGTGAGTCCAGCTGGGGGGAATGTCCTCCTCCAACCCTCGCTTCGGGTTAGGAGCAACCACATCACATGTTTTGGCCAGGGAGAGGTGACAAGTCACCTGGGAACACTCCACAGGGAGTCTGAATGCCGGATCGGGTCTACACACTCTGTCTCCACAGCTCCCGGGAGAGCCGTCGAGTCTAAGCCGTGGGATAAGGCCGACAAGGACAGGAAGCAGGGACCCCAGGCAGCCTGCGAAGCAGGAGTGGCCCACGCAGGAGAACCTGCATTGCGTGCATGTCCCTGGGATCAGGGCTGTCCTGACGTGACCCACACAGCCACAGCAGTCCCCAGGCACGCAGAGGCTTTTGTGGCAGTTGGGGCTCAGGGTGGGAGCGGTGAGTGGCAGCAGTGATTGCAGGGACCTAGATGCTAGATGCCCTGTCTAGTCCCCTGGACACACCCCTGGGTGGGAAACCTGCGCTGTCCCAGGGAAGGACAGCAGTTCAGTGGTGAGCCATCAAAGGCTGCCCAGACCCTTCCAGGGGGTCGGTGCAACAACGACGCCTTACAGACAGGGCTGGGCTCAGATATTCCACAATCTGGCCAAGGTCACGCGGGTTCAGGGGTGAGACGCAGCTGCTCGGTCAAGCCCAAGGACGTCCCCCAACACCCGCAGCCCCTTCTCAGTGCCCGGGCCAGGGAGCAGCTCCATCCTGGCCCTGGCTCTTCAGTGTCCTGGCAGGAACCTGGACCAAGCCACAGTGAGCCAGACCTGGATGACCTGTGTGGAGGACCAGGGTCAGGCCGGAGTCTGGCCCTACTTCATCACTCTGGCAGCGGCTCTGCTCTGGCATCACAGCTTGTTAATAAATTTACCCAGCAAACACATCTTGGTTGGCTTCTGGATTAGGGACGTGTAAAATGAAATTGATGCTGCACCCAGGAGGCAGCACAGGGACATACCTCTTTCCAGGTCCCCTAATGAGACTGCAAATAAATCGCAGGGGCCATGCCTGAGCAGCTGGGCCAACAGCTCAGGACCCTGAGGGCTTGATGGATCGCACAGTGATCCTGGGGTTGAAGATCCATGATTTCCTGGTGACATCTGCAACACACATCTACACCAATTCCAAGCAGCCCTTAGCAGCCAGACTGTCAGCTTACAGTCCAAAGTGACAACCCTGGGCTCAGCCAGGAGCACTGGGCAAGGGCCGGCAGAGAGTCCGAGCTCGGCCTGGCCCTGAACGGAGCTCACAGTTCACAGCTAGGTATGGACAAGGCAGATGCGCAAAAATCTGGATTATTTCTCTGAAAATGAGAAGGTCCAGCAGCCAGGGGCACCTGCTCCCCAGGTCAGCCCATCTAGCCCAGCTCCCGTCCTGGAGCAGCAGTGGCCTCCCCAGACTCGTGTGTCTGAGAGCCAAGGGCAGCAGACAACAGGGACACAGGCACAGCTTGATTCTGGAGAATCACACGGAAGAAGCTAACCCAGCCAGCCCTGCAGCGAGAGCACAGAGCGCTGAGGCAGTAGGAACGTGGCACACCGGCAAAGGGCAAAACTCCAGACAGAAGTTGAGGGCAGACACGGCCCCTCTGATGTGGGGAGCAACTCGGACTATACTGTTACTGGAATTAAGACTTATTCTATGCATCTGCTCTCCCACAATATGGCGCTGGGAGAGGAGAAAACAGCTTCTACACAGCTGCCTCCAGTTCAGCCAATAAACTGTAGGACTTGCTCCTGATTGGAGGAGAGCAGCGTACTCGGCGTGTGGGTAGCAGAGTTGGGATTGGTGGAAGAGGACTATAAAGGAGGAGAAAGACAGCATGCACCAGGAACATCTAAGGGGAACACCTGTGCAGCCCGCGAGAGAGCCGGCCGGCGGTGTGCCACTCCCCTGCGGAAGTGGGGAAAGTGGCCAGGGGGAACCGCCCTTCCACGGAGGTGGAAGGGACGGCAGCCAACCCGGGAAGAACCAGCAGCAAACCCGGGGAGGGCCGAGCAGACAAAAGAACAGCGCAGGGTCTTGTGTCGTTCCTCCACGAAGAGGGGGAGCGACATAATGGTGCCGTGACTCGGATATGAAGCCTAGGCAGGGTTTAGTGTCGTTCCTCCATGAAGAGGGGGAGCGACACTCTGAGAAGGGAGTGTCGCAGTCAAGAAGTAACAAGGCAGGGAGGGAAGCAGGGGCCAGCACAGGGGCCAGTGCTCAGGCAACAGGGAGTAGCAGGTCCCAGACTGGAGGAGGGCCCTAGTCAAAGACAAGATGTCCACGCAGACATGGTGAGAAGGAGGGAATGCGGGCTGGAGTCATGGCCATGGAGCCCAGCTGGCACAGAAGGGACTCGGGTCTTTCACTGAGGGTGAACGGAAGCCACGCACAAATTTCAAGCAGAAGACAGCTTGAAGAGTAACAGGTTCTACTCTGGTGTGCAGGCGACCACATCTATCCCCAGCCTCAACTCAAAAGAGGTGTGCCCACTGCCATCACCATTGCTTACAAGGCAGGGTGGGCCTCGGGCCCAGATGGCTGGCCCCCCAGGGCTGACCTGTGGCGGGAGCCACCAGTTCCTGGCTTCATAAAGGGTGGACTTCCACAGCCCACGAGGAACCAGATTTCCCATGAGGGCTGAAGTCGCACAGAGCTTCCACCTCAGCAGACTGCTCGGGCAGGAAGAAACAGTTTTCCTGAACACACCGACTGGCACCCTGGAAAAGAAGGTGGCCTGCTCCGTGCACCCACACCCAGGCCTGAGCCACGGTGAACACTGGCCTCAGGGCACCAGGCTCTCAGCCAGGTCCCCCTCACCTGCCGAGGGAGGAAGCGTGAGCGTCCTGCACCCAGCCAGGTCGGGCTCTGGGGGAGAAGTGCCCCATGGCTGATGCAGAGAGTCTCCAGGGCAGGTACAGGACCAGTGCCAGAGCAGATGGGCAGCATGTGTGCCAGTCCACGGAGGATTCCTCAGCCCAAGGGACCAGGAAAGTCCGAGGGAGGCAGAATCCGACCCACGGATCACTGGAACAACTGCACGGCACCCAGCAGGACGGCGGGGCTCTCCCCATGCTCCCCGCACTCCAGAGGAAAGCTCTGATCAAACAGCGCTGTCCTTCACCCAGCATGGGCAGAGGGGAGACCTCACTCCCAAAGCCTGCTGTCCAGGTAGCAGGGGCCAACGTGCACGGCTTTGGAGAGGACAATCACAAGGATTCCAACCCCACGGACGGCTCCAGGAAATCCACAAGAAGGCAATGAGTCAGGCCTGATCGGGGCAGGGTTCTGCTTTTTACTGTGCCCACTTCTGAGTCTTGTGAGGGAGTGTGTGATGGCCCTGGTGTCACACATGGTGGCCGTGCAGGACAAACTAGGCACAACAGTGCATGACACTGTGTGAGCAGCAGGGACGGCTGAGACCTGGGTCTGGCCTCAGGACCTTTGCTCGTGCTGCTCCACAGCTCTTCAAGGCTGAGCCCTCCTGACCCTTGGACCTGACTTGTACATACTCCCTTCTCCCAGTGGTGCTGGCACCAGCGGCCGCCTCCCTCCACTCACTGCTTCGTGCCCTCATAGCACCTGCCACCTCTGAGCCATCCTGTGGACCCCTGGCCTCCCCGTCCACTCCGGGAGGCAGATTCCTCGCCTGTCCTGCTCACGCCACCTTCCAGAACTGAGACGGGACCTGGCTCTGAGGAGGGTTCTATGACTACCCTGCCCTTGGCTGACAAGGGGCTGGGGGCCAGTGTCGGCTGAAGGGTGGCCCATATCCCTGAGCCTTGACAGGCTTTGAATGCCCTAAGGACTGAGAACTGGGTGGAACTCAGTTCTGCGAGTCCCACGTCAGCTCCCTGCTTTCAGAATGACCCTCAGACAACTGCATCCCCACCCCCAGAATTTACTGTGAAACACAGCTCTTCCCCCACAACGAGCTGTACAGGTTGCAGCTGCCCACCCCCCAACCTGAGCTGCCCCCACCTGCACTCCCTCGAGCCCCAGACAACACCAAGGCTTTGATGAACTCCCCAGTGCCAAGAAGAGCCGGGCAGCCAAGTCTGCAATTGGAAAAGACTCTGTGGGCCACTATCACCGGGGAGCGGATAAAGCCACTGCTTCTGACGCTGGTATCCCATATGGGCACCAGTTCAAGGCCCGGCTGCTCCACTTCCCATCCAGCTCCCTGCTAACACACCTGGGAAAGCAGCAGAAGATGGCCAACTTCTTGGGCCCCTGCACCCACGTGGGAGACCTGGAGGAAGCTCCTGGCTCCTGGTTTTGGCGTAGCCGGGCCCAGCTTTTGTAGCCATTTGGTGAGTGAACCAGAGGATGGAAGATTTCTCTCTCTCTCTCTGTAACTTTGACTTTCAAATAAATAAATCTTAAAAACGCACACACAAAAAGCTATTCCCATCGGGCACGGCCACACGTAACCGTGGCTCTGGCATGGCCACCCTGGCTCTCCAAGCCCCAGGTCCTCTCAATGCACAGCAGGAATCAGAGCAGCTCCCCTGGCAGGGCTGGCTACGGAGCTGAGACGGCCCCCCTCCCGAGAGCGGCCCCACTCACCACCTGCTTGTTCTGCTGCAAGAGTGGACAGGACAGGTCCAGCTGGGGGCTGGCGTACACGGGCGTGAGGGTGAGCCTGGACGGGGCAGCGCACACAAACTTCACCACAGCTGGCTCCACGGCGGGGAAGGGGTTGGTGAGGCTGGGCTTGTTCCCCACGGAGAGGGCGATGACCTGGCAGGCAGAAAGGGCTGTCAGACCCCTGAGGGTGGGCCCGTTCCCATGGCAGCTGAGTCTCAAGTTTTCTCTTCTGCTGGACAGGGGTGAGGATGACACCCACCCCCTCCCCCGGGGGCTCAACAAAGACCCTGTCACTTGTTTGGGAAAGCATTTCCTCAGGTGGGAGCCCCCTGCTCCAGCCCACACCATCCAGAGCCTTGGGTTGCTGCTGGCCAGGGCACTTCCCAAGCCCAGAGGACAGCCAGTGGTTCTATCAGCAGATCTCAGGTTCCCAGACACTTCAATGAGGTGTCCAGACTTTCACAGCAACACTTATCAGAACAGGGTGCAGGTGTGGGTGAGATATGCAAGAAATGGGGCACAACAAGGAGCAAAGCCTGGGGGCAAGGGGCAGGAACACTGGCTAGGAGCTGTGGCCTCAGAGCTCCAAGTGCCTTTGGCCTCCTCCAGCTCACACACCTTCTGTGGGACTCAGGGGTCTGCTCCCCCCGCCCCTCGGCCTCCCTGACCATGCGGCAGGGAAGAGGGAGGCTTCCTCCCCACCATCGGGCTCCAGTGAGCAAGAAGGCCCCAGAGGTGACTCGGGTCACACAGGCATTTGTTCTGACCACTCAGACTCCAAAATTTCTAGTTTTCACCTTAAAAAACAAATCAAGAAACTTCAAACACATAAAAAGTTGGGATTTTGAACTTTTCTTGAGATCCCAAAGATATATCAATGGTTGGGTGCTGTGGTGCAGCTACCTGGGATGCCCACTTCTCCGAGGGGAGGGCTGGTTCCAGTCCTGGCTGCTCCACTTCCCATCCAGCTCCCTGCTAATGTGCCTGGGAAAGCAGCAGAAGATGGCCCAAGTGCTTGGGCCCCTGCACCCATGGAGGAGACCCATGTGGGAGTTTGACTTGTCCCAGCCCTAGCTGTTGCAGCCATTTGGGGAGTGAGGCAGTACACAGATCTCTCTCTCTCTGCCTCCTACCTGTCATCCCCCCACCCCATTCTGCCCTTCAAATAAGTAAGTCTTTAAAAAGAGATGTATGGGGCCAGCATTGTGGTGTAGCAGGTAAAGCCGTGCTCCACTTCCAATGCAGCTCTCTCCTATGGCCTGGAAAAGCAGCAGAAGATGGCCCAAGTGCTTGGGCCCTGGCACCCTTGTGGGAGACCCGGAAGAAGCTCCTGGCTCCTGGCTTTGGATAGATGCAGCTCCGGCCATTGCGGTCATCTGGGGAGTGAACCAGCAGATGGAGGACCTCTCTCTCTCTGCCTCTCTTTCTCTCTCTGTATAACTCTTTCAAATAAATAAATAAATCTTTTAAAAAAGGGAGAGAGATGTATCAAACCCAGGTCTAGAGTCTCATTTGCATATAATGTTCATTTGATCCTGGAGGCTTTCAACTCTGTGACCCCTGAACTTAAGCCATGACTGCATCACACTTGGCATGGGCTATAGGGGCCTAGAGAGGGAAGAGGCCAGCCTGAGACCAGCTCTGTCAAAGCTATGGGGATTTGGGGCTAGGAGGGACCCAGCTGCTGCACCTGCTTGGCTTGCATGGTGTTCACTCAGTCACTCCACCTCACTGAGCCTGCCTGTCAAATGGGTACAGCAAGAGCAGTTGTCTCTCAGGATCAAGTGAAATGGCACTTGGAGAGCATGCTGTTCCAGCCCTCTCTCTGGACAAGGTGGGTCTGGGGTAGTTGCCTACTCACCTGTTCACCTAAAGCCCGGCAGGTCACAAGGATTCGATGCTGCTGGTAATTGCGGGAGGTGGGGGGGCCAAAGAGAGCCAAGCTGATACTGTCAGTGTCCTCAGAGGTGATGTTCCGGAAGAACTTGGAAGGCTCCAGGACCCAGGGTCTGGGACCTCCTTGGAACAGCATCTCCTTGGAGGAGCCCAGGGTCACCAAGGCAACAGAGGAGGGGTCCACAGCCTGTGCAGAGCAAAGGGAGGTGACTCAGCACTGACACGGCACGGGCAGGGGCTGCGCTGGACAAGTCTTGTCGTCCCATCTGCAGTTCTCAGTGCCAATGTCAGCCACAGGCACAACACTGGGCCATGCAGACGCCACATACGTTACCATGAGCAGACAACAAGAGTCTTTGACAGATCAACACCCAACACCCAGAACAAAGAGGACTGACAGTTCCTTCCAGGTCCTAATGCCACAGAACCTGGGTGTACATGCTCAGGGCACAAGGTCCAGCACCCGCCCCCTCTGCAGGGAGAGATCAGAGAGTCCTGCTGGGCTGTCCCACGCCCATCCTGTGCCAGCCTCCATCTGTTCCTTCCACTTGGGTGCCATCTATGACTTCTAAGTCACTGTGCTCTCTCTATAGTTATCTTGTGGGGCTGGGGTCTAAGCTGACCTGCTCCTCAGAGCCCCCGACCCTCTGCTCAACTCCTTCCTTCCCTCTCCCTCACACAGGCTGTGTCCTAAACCCCCAAATGCCAAGAGTTCCGCTACCCCAGAACTGCCAATCTGTGGTTCCGTGGGGACCCAGGAGGGTGACACTGAAGGGGACCAGTAGCGCACTCTGTGCTGACTGCTGCTGAAAACCTGTGAAGCCCATGCTGCTGCTTCTGCCAGGACGGCCTGGTGGGATGGGGCCCTGCTTCTGCCAGGTGTGAGGCAGGCGACCACCTGGGTGTCAGCACCCACTAGCCCCCCGCCTGCTTATGGCTATAAACCTGCAGGGCGGGGGAGCTGATCCCGGGTGCTCCTGAATGCGCCAGGTTTTCTCATGAAGCCTCCAGAAAAACCAAGGCTTCGCATCAGGGCCCAGGGCAGGCCCGGCTCACCTTGAGGGGCAGGTGGGCGGCAATGGTGATCTTGGCTCGCAGGTGCACATGGCCATGCGTGTAGCTCACGAGGAGTGTGGTGTGCCCCTGGGCCTCGGCTCGCACCCGGATGCCACTGCAGTGTTCTGGTCCTGGCGGCAGCCGCCCTACACAGAGAGGAAAATGCAATGGCCCTCAGGACCTTGACCATGGCAGGTGACCCATGGCAAGCAAGGGCCTCTCACTGCGGCCTTGACACTCACAGTGAGTCTAGTCTCACAACAGTAAGCCTAATTCATAATCTACAAAGCACAAGTATGGGAGCACACAAACTGCAGGGACTTTTTTTCCCCCACACACTGAACATACCCTGTGTCCAGTACTTAGAACAAGAACAAGGACAGGAGACCAATGCTGTGGTGCAGTTGGGTTAAGCCACCACCTGGGACTCCGGCCTTCCATATCAGAGTACTGGTTCAAGTCCCAGCTGCTCCACTTCCAATCCAGCTCCCTGCTAATGTCCTGAGAAGGCAGTGGACAATAGGCCAAGTACTTGAGTCCCTGCCACCCAGGTGGGAGACCAGGATGGAGCTCTAGGTTCCTGGCTTCTGTTGCCCAGCACTGGCTGTTGTAGCCACTCGGGGAGAGAATCAGCACATGGAAGATCTCTCTCTCGTTCTCCATCTCTCCTGACACCCTGCCTTTTAAATAAATGGAGGAGGAGGAGAACCAGAGCATTCCAGCAGCCCCAGAATCAGCTGCAAAGCCCTCAGGCCTCTGCTCGCCCACCCCAGGGGGCAGCTTTGCCCTGCTGCTTCCTGATGCTTTCGCAGAGGGAACCACTAAGCGCATGCTTCCACGTCTGGCTTCCAGCCCAGGACTTCTCATGAAGGGCAGGCTTTTTTGCCTAGCAGTTGAGTTGCCACTTGGGATGCCCACATTCCACACTGAAGCGCCTGAGTTCAAGCCCAGATCCACTGCAGATTCCAGCCTCCTGCTACTGTGCACCCCGGGAAGCAGCGATGATGGCTTAAGGAGCTGGGGTCCCTGCTCCCCACACAGCACACTGGGGTTTGAGCTCCTGGTGCCCTCGCAGGAGTGAACCAACAGGTGGCAGGGAGCTCCATCTCTGCATCTCACGTCAATAAAAAGTAAATGTAAAAAGTCTCTTAAACACATCGCGAGCCTCCTCACGTTCTGCACATTGTAGATCTTTCACCTACTTTTCTACCGATGACTCCGTTGGGGGATTACCCAGCTCCCGTGGACCAGCGTCCGGGTTGCTCCCAGGTCAGGGCTGCGACCCCAGTGCTGCCCTGTCGCTGAGCCTTGCTCCTGGAGGACACACAGGGCCCGCGTCTGTGGCTGTGTCCCTGGGAGCGGGACTGCAGGGTCACTGGGCGTGTGCTCAGCTCCAGTGCCGCCGCCAAGCGTCATCCCCAGAGCACTCGCCTGCATGTGCTCAGCTACCGGCGGCCACTCTGCGTCTACCGGTACATCTTCCATCTTTAGCCGTTCCCTCACCCAACCATCAACCCGTTCTCCTGACTCACTGGAGAGCAAGCACACGGCCCTGTGCCCATCGAGCTACCCAACCCGGTCAGGACCACGTCACTGCTGTGCTCAGAAACCTCCCTTGGCTCCCTCTGCCCCGGTCCAGGCCCTGCACAGCTCCACCCCTGGCCAGCTCCTGCCATTCCAGGTGCACCACGCGGGCGAGCACCATGGACTTGGGCACCTCCCGGCCCGCTGAACGCCATCTTCAGCCTCCCAACACCCGCCCAGGTCTTCCTCCTGCTCCACAGCTCCCCCAGTCCTCCCGTTCTCTCCGTCTCCCCACCCTTGGAGCCCGTCCCCCAGGCACCACAGCTGGGGCAGCGTCGGTCACACCCAGGTCTGCACCCGGGGGGCCTTCCCAGGCTGACACTCGGCAGCCTCGGTGCCTTCTCCTGGCGCGTGGCCCAGCAGCAGCTCCTCCTCCCATGCTGGTGGTGAAATCTGAGGTCAGGCACGCACGCTGCTTACCCCAGGCCTGGCCCAGCTGCCTCCAGCACATGCCTGCCAAAACCCCCCCACAGGGGCAGAGGATGACGGCTCCATGTGCCCGGGACAAGGCCAGGCTGGTCCCAAGGGGCTGCGGCTGTGGCCAGGCAAACACCCATCACCAACATGTTCGGAGCCCTACAGCGTTCCAGGCCCTGGAACAGGCACCTGACGTGCGAGTCTGGTGGGAGGACAGGGCACAGACGCCATCCCCACGCTGAGGCCCCGCCCCCACCCTGCCCCAGCCCTCTGCTTAGGGATCCGTGGCGCCAACCCTCCTGCCCAGCGCCCACTCAGCAATGCAGGTTCACCTGGCAGTGGCTGGAACACGCCCTGGTTCTCCACCTCCACCGTCAAGTCCGAGTGGGAGCAGTCACTCAGAGTGACCACCTCGCTGGCCCCGCCGGGCACCAGGCCGTTGATCCTCAGGGGCAGCTCCAGGGTCTGGCCCACTCGCGCCTCCACCTGGCACGGGGCGAACTCCATGCTGCTAGGCTCAATCACATACACCTGGAGAAATGGGGGGTGGCCTGGGCTCAGGCAGGCACAGCAGGAAAGGTCCAGCCGGGTGTTCAAGTGTAATAAAAACCGCAGTGTGCAGTGCACTGAAGACAGGTTGGGGAGAAGGCTGAGCTGGGAGTGGGGACACCAGAATGGCCTCTACGGGGATGTGACCTTGGAGCTCAGACCTGGGTAACCAGTGCCAGGGAAGGGTGATTTGTGCAAAGGTCCTGGGGCACATACCCACTCAGCGCATGGGAGGAGTGTCAAGAGGCCAGTGTGGCTGAAATGTGGTGCTTGCAGGAGGGTGGCAAGACACGGGTCGGAGAGGCAGTGGGCCAGGCCATGCAGGGCCGGGCCGTGGGTTCCCACTGGCTGAGCTGGAGAGACTTCAGAGGTGCTCTTGCCTCTGGTCTCTGTATAAATTAGCAGCCGGGTGACCAGCACAGAGGCTGTGGGGAATTCCCCGGAAGAGATGACAGCAGCTTGGCTGGGTGGGAGGTGGGGGTAGGAACGGGTCTGTCTGGAGACATTCTGAGTGGACAGCTGATTGGTGCGTTGATAAAGTGGCAAGGGAGCATGAGGAAAAGACATCAACAGCACCTGCTGACGCTTATGCCGACAGAACTGCTCCTGGCAGTCCCTGCTGAGGCCTCTGTGTGAGCAGCCGTACGCAGCGCAGCATTTCTCAGTGCCCAGCTACCTCCCTGCCCCCTGCCCCCGGACCCCTCCTGGGCAGCACCATTGCACCTTCAAGACCCTGGCACAAGGCGGCCAGAAACTTCCCAAATTTCAACAGTGGAGGTCTGAGTGTGAACCCAGCAGCCAGGCCCAGAAGCCGGGTCCCAGCCTTGAGCCACACTACCTCTTGAGGAACTGTCCTCAGAGCAATGGGTGACAGGCGGCACTTGCACTGAGAGGGAAGACGGGAGAGAGAGGACCACATGACCCCAATTTTCCCAATACTGGAATACCAGGTTTCATCTACATGACCTCTGTCAATAGTCCTTTTTTTTTTTTTTTTTTTTTTGTTCACCCCCCAAAGGGCCACTATGGCCGGCGCTGCGCCGATCCAAAGCCAGGAGCCAGGTGCTTCCTCCTGGTCTCCCATGGGGTGCAGGGCCCAAGCACTTGGGCCATCCTCCACTGCCTTCCCAGGCCACAGCAGAGAGCTGGACTGGAAGAGGAGCAACTGGGACTAGAACCCGATATGGGATGCCGGCGCCACAGGCAAAGGATTAACCAAATGAGCCACGGTGCTGGCCCCTGTCAATAGTTCTTTATATGAGAATTAGACCCATCTTTGGACAGATGCATCTCAGTAAGACTGGAATAACCTCCACCTGCACCCAACTACTAGGAGAGAAGGCTATGATGCAGTGTGGGCTTCAATTTCTGCCCAAAATGAAGAATTACAGGGGATGATGGCAGAGTAACGGGTCGAGGTCCTGGGTGGGAGGGAGGCTGGCAGAGGCTCAGCTGCAGGTGACCACCACACCTGCCGCTACTGCTAAGTGAGAGGTTCCCAGGCAGGTGCAGGGAGCAGGACAGGGAACACGTGACTTTGCACCTGAGCAGGAGAGAAGGGAGAGGACCCTGGCCTATCTCTTGTGGCCTACAGGTCTCCTCTCCCTGAGAACCCACCACTCAGTATCCCTTTGTATTTGAGATTTGTATCTTTCTAGTCTGGGGAACTTTCTAGAAAGGCTCTTTGTTGCTCACATGTCTTCACCGTGGGTGCTAACCCTCAGGTCCCATTGTCCACCATGCTGACAGGGCCGTGAGCTCCTTAGGGGACAGGGCTGGGGACTGACCTCCTCCCTGCCACTCATACTGCCAACACCAAGGACTGGACACAGGCTGCTCCTGAATGAGGTCTGAGGACTGGTGAGGAGGATGGCCGGGGGCCAAAAGTCCAAGGTCCCCCATGCGCTGTTCCAGGCCCCAGGCTCTCACCTTCATCTCGCCAAAATGTAGTGGGTTCTGGACATCATGTGCCTGGATTATACTGAGTCCTGTGTCACCACCTGTGGTCATCACACCCTTGACAGTGACCATGGCAACCTCGGAGTTGGATGAAGACCAGCTAAAGTTCCCACTGCCACCGTGAGCCTGGGGAGGAAAAGCATCACAGGATCAGCAAGCCAGAGGGAACCAGCTCATTCAGTCATATCCACTCCAATTCAGCACACCCATTCACATGCTCACAGCCACACTCACCCATTCACACCTACACACATGCTCACCGACTCATACCCCAACACACACGCACACCCATTCACATGCTCACCCACTCACAGCCACACTTACCTACTCATCCTCACCCATTCAAATTCACGTGCACTCATTCACACTTGATCAGCTACTCACACCCACTCACAAACGCTTGCCCATTCACATCTACACTCACACATGTTCACTTGTTCAGACCCAACTGCTCATTCATACACGTCTAGTCACACTCACCCACTCACACACATACACTGCCACTTACCCACTCACCAAGTTGCTCACTCGCCAACTCACTCACCCTCCATTCATACCCACCTTCTCACACTCACACCTAAACATTCACACACACACACACACACACACACACACACAAGGTCAATGGCCCCACATTTAACAGTGACATCAGCCAACACGTGGCTACAGGCTCCCTCTGCCCTTGCTCTCTCCTCCCTGTCTCATTTCTGGTCCTCACACTCCAGGGACCTTATGGCTGACAAACACATACACTCACTCTGTGACAGCAGCCCGTTACCTGGTGGGAATGCCCAGAGCTCAGGCTGGAGTGGGAAGAAACCCAAGCAGAGCCACCTGCAGACGGCTGCTTCCCCACCAGACACAAGCTCCCCAGCACACTCCCTGCCCACTTCTAGTTGCCTGCGAGAAAGTAAGCAACAGGCCCTCCTTCTCCCAGGGCAGCTCCATAGCCAGGAAGGGGAGGAGTCTCAGCACACAGGCAGGACATCCATCACCAGTGCAGGAGGACTGCAGGACTGATGGCGACTGCACTGACCACACAGGCTCGGGCCCCTCTGAAGTCAGTGCCTGCAGGCCCATGCCATGGGGAAGGTGAACCTGTGTGACCAGGTGGGTAACGTTCTTCCCTTGAATTTCAGATTTTTCTCTAGGTGGATTCATACTACTTTCTAAAAGCAACACTCTAGAAAAACAAAGCCAAGTGGAACTCAGATCTGAATACCAGTATTTATTGAACTTTCCTTGCTCTGTTTTTTTTCAGCTGGGCATTCAGTGTTTTCCTGGTTAACAAAACACATTGCTGTGAGGAAAACTTCATGAAAGACGGGAGTCTCAATGCCTCTGATTTAAAATCTTCTCCTGCCACTGGAGAGAAAATTAGAAGTGGCAGATGGGTGAAAAGCCACAGGCCGCGGTGACGCCCCAAGCACTGCGCCCAGGGTGGGGGTCTCACGTACCTTGATTGTGTACTGATAGGCGCCCGTCTTTGGTTGCCAGGGAAACGTCAAGATGCTGGGATTGAGGGTGATGGGGACATGAATGTCCACCTCCTGCTGGTTCCACACGGGCACCCGCAGCGTGTGGACCCCTCCGTCCTACAAGGGTGAGGGCACAGCTTGTCACAACAACCGCGTCATCAGCACAGCGTGTCCCAGCCACTCGGGCCCCTGCCCTTCCAGGAGGATTGAGCCACAAGGGGTGACATTCTGCACATGGAACAGTGGAAAAAACCCCAGTCAGACAGCCCACAGCCTCATAGGCCTCTAAGGGGCTGGCTTTCCATGGCACTGTGACAACAATTCAAGGAAATGCTGCGTGACCCAGCCCTCAGGGCAGGATGACTGAGGGAGAAATTGAGGGGTGGGGTGTAAAAGCAATGTACCCACCCCCCTCCAAAGCTCCTTTCTGACATCCTGCTGCCCCTTACAGGGGTGTATGCTGGGAAAATGTGGCACTCGTGTCCATGTGCCAGTCACTGAAACGCTGCTTCTACCTGAACTGACCAACCCTTGACACAGGAGAAATTTAGGAAAAGACTGAGGACCTGAGCAGCCAAAACAGACAAAGACTAGCTCTGGCTAGTGGCTCTGGCTGGGGCCCAGCTGGACACACATAAACCAAGCTCTTTCCCCAAACAAGGGTTTCTACTGCATTCCAGAAAGGCACAGGGCAAATGGCAGCAAGAGGGGTGGCCTGGCCCCTAGGAACAGAAGAGCCCTGAATCCCCTGGATTCACAGAGCTCCTGTGCACTGGGGTTCTGGGCCCTGTCCTTGGACATTTCTGCCCTCAGAGGCAAACTTTGCAGGCTGAGGGCCAAAGGCCCAGATGAGGAGAGGCACCCACTCACCTGGTCCACCACAGAGGTGAGGGCTGCGCTGATGGCCGTCTGGCCCCTGCGAATGGCCTTGACATGATGGTGCGAGCCGTTCTGGGATGATGACAGTACCTCGAAGAACTCGGCAGGAAGCACGGCTTCAATTCGGATGTTCTGAAAGGTGAGGCAGGACAGGAGACAGGTGCTTCTGGGGCAACTCGGCAGAGCAGGACTTGGCCAAGAAGCTAGGGCACCCGGAAACAGCAGCCAGGTCCCCTCTGCGGTTCAGGGACCTCTGAAGGCAGGCAGTCAGCTGGGCAAGGCCAGGGAACAGCTCCTAGGCCACTCCGCCGGCTCTGCACAGCCACGACCTGGCACTGCTGCTTTGGCTCTCTGGGCAGCTCCCAACCTCCGGCAGCCTTCCTGGGCCCTGAGGCTCAACAAGGCCCCACCAGACACAAGGACACCAAACCTCACAGAGCTAACTTCACACAATAGTGACAATACTCATGTTTGCTTAGCACGGTGTGGACAGCTGCAGCCTATGCCTAGGAGCCTGGGGGGCCTCTCCCCCTTCACCGAGCCTCAGAGGCCACAAGGAAGGACCTGGTATTTACACGATGCCCCTGGGGACGGCCTGCAAGTACAGAGGCCCAGATGCCTCCCATCTCCCCAGTCTCTGCCTGCTGCTCTTTGCAGGCTGGAGAGCTGAGGTGAGCCCCGGTCCCCTGGTCACAGGAGGCTGTCAGGAAGGGCACCCTGGGCCTCTGCAGCAGGAGGGAGGCGAAGACTCAGTGTCAGGACCCCAGGCTTGAAGAGACGGGGGCAGTGGGAGAGCTCCACCTCACCAGGGTGAGCCCCGCCACCTCGGCCGCCTCTCCCCACCCTGCAGGGACGTCTGCTGCACACACTCAGGCTCTGGAGCTGCACCAGGGCCCCACAGAAAGCACCCATGCAGACCCAGAGTGCCAGCAGCAGGCAGAGGATGCCCAGGGACCCCCGTGTGGGGCCCCAGTTGCTTTGGCGATGCTCGCCTGGCAGCTGCCCCAGGAGACAGCACCACCTCACCACGCCAGGCCCCAGGCTGGCACTCACGTCCGATAGGTAGACCTTGTTGCTGGACTTGTCAAATACTTCGACAGTGATTTCATACAGGCGGCCAGTCTCCAGCACCCACCTGTCACCAGGGTGCACGGTGAACCCTAAAGACAGGCAAACAGAGAGCCTGAGCATGCAGGCCTCAGGGGCCAAAGGGCTGAGAAGGAGGTCGGGATCAAGTGCCACAGATCTGAAGGCTCCACAACCCCTACCTGGGGACCCCATATCTTCCCACATAAGGACCTCACATCTACCTACCTGACACCCCACAACCACCTACCTGGAGACCCCACATCTTCCCACATAAGGACCTCACATCTACCTACCTGACACCCCACAACCCCTACCTGGAGACCCCACATCTTCCCACATAAGGACCTCACGTCTACCTACCTGACACCCTACAACCCCCACCTGGAGGCCCCATACCCACCCTCCTGGAGCTCCATAATTTTGCCTCCTTTCCAGACAGGGTAGCCACTGCAGGGGTGACCCTCATACCCCCAGCTGCCCAGGGCCCTCAGAATCTGTGACCCATCTGTGATGCTCTGAATCCCCCTGCTCCGCCTGCTCAGTGCTGTCCCCAGCAGGTGTAGGCCCTGCAGCGTGGCACTGAGTACCCTCCCCTCCCACACCTAGGAGCACATTCCTTGCCCTACCACCACCTGTTTCCACTGCCCCACCCCCACCCCCGACCCCAGCCCTACTCATGTTGAGGTCCCTGTCTTTCTTCCCTTGTAAGCTCAGTGCCCAGCACAGGCTGGGCAGACAGAAGGTGCTGGGAAACCTTGCTAAGCAAATGAAACTCCTGAGACAAGAGGCCACCACTGTCACCTCGGGTCTGTGCCCCCCGGCTGCTGACAAGTGGAGATGCACTGTCACCTGCACTACGTGGGTGCACTCAACAGGCGAGTCATCTCAGACTGAAGGAAGCGTTGCCATGGTGACCTGGGATGATGCAAGTACCCCGGCGGGCTCCCACACCACTGCTTCCATAGCTCTGTGGCCCGGCTGTGCCCAATGTCCCCCAGTGCTGCAAGCCCCTCCGCTCCTCTCAGGGGCCTCTCCCACCTCCTGGCCAAGGCACCTGCCAATTGTCATGTCACCTCGGGCCCTCTGTAGCTGAGTGGACCACTGTGCCCCATCCTCCAAACACCTCTAGCAATGCGCAGGCCCCAGGTGAAGCCTTGGTAGAAAGAGCAGGGTGCAAACTCGCCATCACTCTTCCCATCCCACACCTCTCCCTGCTCTCTTCCTCCTGCCAGCCTGCTCTGGCCTCTGCTTGCTTCTGCAGCACATGCAGGAGCAGGCTGGGGAAAGCCCGGGGCGGGGGCACCTAGGCCTCGCAGGCGCAATGCTGTTGCTTTCCTCTCGTGCTCTTCAACTCCTCTAAGTACAAAGGAATGCCCAGGAGGCTCATACTCACCCAGGTAGCCAGGTTCCACCACGTAGATGGTGCTGTTGGGTAACCGGGAAGCACCCTGCATGCGGATACCTGAATGCTTAATTAAGGGACAAGACACAGACAGCAGAGAGACAGGTGGGCAGGCTCCAGAGTGGCTCAGGTGGCCTCCGTGTCACTAAGAAAGCACAGGACACGGGGGGGGGGGGGGGGGTGCCAAGGCACCGCTCAGAATCAAAGGCCCGCCCCACCATCTGCAGTGGGGATGCTCTGGAAGAACGGCCGTGACCACACTTGAGGACTGTGGGCCATCCACAAGCTGGAGGCTGGTGTGGGAGCAGCCTCTGTTAGGAGGCAGCAGGCACCATGGAGGCTTCTGGAGGCGAGGAAGGATGCTCGGCTCCCGCCTCCGTTCCTGGGAGCCTCGCCAATGAGTCGCCCTCAGAGGTGAGCCCCGCGGCTTGGCAACAGTGCTATCTCAGGGCTTCCTGCTTTGCAGACCGTGTGGGGAAATGGGGCTATTTTTAGCCTTGCCTGGCTTGCCGGGAGAACAACAACTCAGGTTCCGAAAGGCAGATGCACGCAGGCCCAAAAAGAGGATACTCCTGTGGCCGAGGACCAGGCTGCTCTGCCCCAGCTGCACCGCGGTAACCAGCGACGTGTCCTGGGCCAGCACGGCCACGGGCCGGGTGACGTCTCCTCCAGGGCTGGGGAAGCTGTTCTGAAGCTGCAGCTCATACTGATCAGAGGGCATGGAGAGTTCTGGGTGCCCAGAGACCCAAGAGAACAGAGAGGGGGGAGAAGGAGGGGAGTGTGACCCTGCTGCCAGCACAGCTGCTGGCCTTTCCTGCTTAATCTTTCCCAAAGCATTAATGTTTAATGTGATTCTCCGCGCCTGTGGACGTAAGTGACACCCCAAGAATTGTTAATTTTTTGCAGCTCCCTTCAGCTGTTAGAAAATAAAATCACTACAGCCTCTGGCCCGGGAACAGAATCAGACCATTCATTCCCACCACTGCGGAAGCAAGTGGACTCTGCTTCTGCATCCAGGGAGCTGGGCTGGGTCCCACTGGAGCTGTCCGCCCTCCAGGAGGCCCCAAACAGGCTCTGGGCCATGGGCTCCCGCCGGTCCAATCACTGCAAAGAACTGACCCAGGTACCATCCTGACCACCCCCGCCCAGGGCCTCCCTGCTCTGCATCATGTCCAGTGCATGGTGTGGGGAAAGGGGTTTGCCCAGCCTGAGCCAGGAGGGGGAGCACTGCCCCAGGAAAACAATGAGTTCTCCAAAGCCACCATCTTAGGTCAGGAGCTCTGCGGACAGAAATGGAGGCTGCTGACCAGGGCCCCGGGATGCCTCAACACCATGCTGCTGTCGGTGAGTAACGCCTCACCTCGGCCTCAACTCAACAACTCTGGGAGCAGATGCTACTGACGCCCACCTCCAGATGGTGGATGCTGCTCAGGGTCCCGCAGCGGGGTGGGGGAGCAGAGCTGGGATTCCACCTCGAGGGCCTCTACCTCCCCATCCCTCTCCCAGGTCCACAACCTGTCACTCACACGCTGACCCTGTAGGTGTGGCCACCTCCAAGCCTCCTCCAGCAAGAGAGAAGGGACACGGAGAACTACAGGCAACATCCTTGCTTACCACTCCATTCTGGGTCCCAGCTGAGGAGCTGGCAAAGGCAGGGGCCGGAGTCAAGGCTGCTGGAGGCAGGGTTTTGGCTAAAACAAGCAAGAGGCCTGTCTCCCAGCCTGGGTTACCCCCTGGTCCTCCAGTGAGTCCTGCGGCACAGCCCCAGGCCCGCAGCAGCTGCTGAAGAAAGCTTGGTGCAGGCCCCAGCAATGCGTACACTCACGAGCCCAGTGAGTGTACTGGCTCATACCCAGTTTCCTCACCTCTAATTAAGGGAAGCCCAGCCACACGGGGCGGGCGGTGAGCCTTGCTGATAACGCACCCAGGACAAGTATAAAATCACTCAGCTGCCCCATAAAACAACCCTGCTCTGTGCAGCACTAGATCCCTCCCTGTTCAGACTTCTTCGAATGAGTAACAGATTTTTGGAGCCAACTCTTTTTCTCTGCATCCTGCCCCCAGCCTCTCAAATAAATAAGGTTTTTTTTTTTTTTTTTTTTTAAATATTTAAAGAGGAAGGAACATCTGCCATGATGCCCAGGTCATGCACACACCTGTAATCTTGCCTTGCCTGATCTTCTGCACCTTGTAGTGGATGGAGGTCCCCACCATCAGGTAGACGTCGTAAGCTGGGTTCAGAAGGATGTTCTCCAGAATCAGCAGCCTGACTTCCGCAGGGCGCACATGCTTGCACAAAGCAGAGGGCAGCAAAGGTGAGGTGGGATCAGAGCGTGGGGGGGTTAACCTTTTAGTGTGTTCCTTGCAAGGTTGAAAGTGAAGAAAGATAGCACTCACAACCGCACACCTGCAGGCCCTAGAAGTCCCAAGGGGGACCCTGCAGGTGTGGTAGGTATGCAAACCATGGCCACCGCCAAAAAGCTCATGAGCATTTCATTCCATTATGTGTGTGCTATCTCCGTTTTAAGTGAGCAAAAAGGAGAGGGTAGAGCCCTCTGAGGCCACGTGAAGCTCAGGTTCTCTCCCCACATAAGCCTGAGTCCAGGGAGGTTGGGCAGCCCCAGCCCTCCAGAAAACGGGGAGAGGTATGTGTCTCTGTTGACCCTTAGCCCCTCCTACCGGTGACCTCCTCCTCAGGAGGACCGTGAGATGGGAGAGGGGCCGTTGAGCGTCCTGTCTGGCAGACCCCCCAGGGTTGCAGGGTTGTCAGGGGCCTGAATCTTAAAACTCTCTTCGGGCTACTTGTAGCCCTGTGAGTGGCAGAAAACTGAGGGCTAAACAAACGGTTCCTGTTGGCAGGAAGGCAGACACTGACGGGGACAACAGCTGCTGCACAGCTCTTCTCTTTGTGCGCTCCTGCCGGCCTCCTCCATGGCCCCGTGGCTCTCGCTTTGCGCCAACAGTAATGTCGCACAAGCTTCCGCACTTGCGGGTAAGTTAAGGATGGTGCCCTCTGACACCTCAACCACCTCTCCCCAAGTCATGGAGCAAAGCAAACCAAGAAAAACACCTGAAGGCCTTCCCCTGAGTCCCCTTGTCCACAGGTGCGAGCAGCAGGCACCTGATGCCACCCCCGGAGGCCCACCTTGTACACGGCCTCCTGGATGCGAGCCTTGAGCTTGGAGCTCCCCGTCTTCATCCCAGACACCAGGATGGTGTCTCCCTGCTTGGCCACCTTCTCCATCTCCGAGATGTAGGAAGGAGGTATGTACGTGGACTCCAAGAACGTTAGGATTCTGGAAGAGGAACAGACGGTCTAAGGCATTCATCACACCTAACCCAAGACACCCACCAGTCACCAGTGCCTCCTGCTGGGTGCCAGGAGCCAAAATCAGTGGCATCCTCTTTGCCAGTGGCACTGAGACACAGGTCCCTACAACTTCCTGCATCAGAATTTCCAGTGTCTTTGTGAAAAATGCAAACTCTTCGCTCCAGTCCAGCCTCTGTGCACAAGAGGCCTACAAATCTGCATTTCCTCAACCTACAGGTGATGGGAAAGCACTCAGTCCAAATGGGAAGTGAGGCCCACAGTAGTTAGGCGGCAGGCCCAAGACCCCAGACCCAGCCAAAGCAGCATCGGTAAAGCCTACCAGTGCCCGAGGGAGGAGCCGGGGATGCAGTGGGCCCCGGCCAGGTGTGTGCTGTAATGAGGCTGGCGGGCTAGCCCTTTCCAGGCTCTCCCTCCAGCCCACACAGGAGGATCTGGCAGACACACACCCCTTCTCCACAAGGCTGGCGGCACTGTGATTTATTTCCTCGCCCAGTTGTAGCGGGTGTCACGTGCTACATTTAACAAAGAACCAAGACAATCAGCTCCAAGCCGCCTCGGCACCTTGGACTGCGGTTAGCATTCAGCTCACAGGGCGCTGCTGGGAAGCCAGGGTGGGGCTCGCCTCAGCCGGCAGCCAGCATTCCTGGAACATCAAGCACGCCCCAGTCCCAGGAAGGGATCCCGAGCACATCTGCCAGCTTGCCCGGTGTCCCTCAGTCGAGGGCACGGGGCTCTCTTCTCTTCCTCTGTTTTACGTGCCGGATGTGGGGAAAGAGTCGTCTCGGACACGTTAGGTTCCTTGTCCGAGGGCCCAGGCAGGAAGCATCAGGGCCAGGATTGGAATCTGCGTCTCTCGGACTCTGAAGCCCTATTTCTGGCTTTACAAAACCAGCAACTCCAGAGCTGGTCCAGGACACAGACAGAGGACGAGGGTCCCAGCCCCTTAGAGCTCTGAACCCGAGTGCAACTTGGCTCACAGAGTGTCAGGACACGGGACATCTGCCCTGGACTCAGCCATTAGTGCACGGAGCAAGCTGTGCACGAAGCCGGGCTGGGTGCCTGGCCCCTCCTACAGCCACTGCGGGACGAGAGAAGGTGGGGATGAAAGACGAGACTCTGCTCAAGCAGTCCTAACTGTGGTGGGATGAAAAAGTGGCCTCATGGAGAGAACCCTGGCAGACACACCCCACCCAAGTGACTAGGGACCATCCTCAACAGCAGGTCCAGTGGGGCCAAACTACAAGGCAGGTGGGTGGACACCAACTGTCACCACAGTGACACTCTTGCCAAAGACACAAGGTTCTGAGTCCAGTCACAAGGGGACAGAAGGTAAACCGAAGGGAGGGACGTGCTACCAAACACCTGCACTGTCACCACCCGGAGTGCTCGGGTCCCTGATGTCACCTGGGCACCTCAGACCCAAAGACCGACCCAGGCCGACAGAGACCAAGCTGATGGGACTCTGGCCTGAGTTTCTGTGCCAGAGGACAAAATGGTAACACTTGGCAAAGCTTGGCTGAGATGGGCAGACTACAGCTTCCAGGTTCCCTTCACAACTTTATAACTGCACTGTGGGGGCCCAAAATTGTTACAAAAATCATAAAATAGTAATTTGTCCTCCCCCAAAGGGACTCCGCTCCTTAACCAGTTATTAAATGGGGGTGGGCCAGAGCCGCGGCTCACTAGGCTAATCCTCCACCTAGCGGCGCCAGCACACCGGGTTCTAGTCCCGGTCGGGGTGCCGGATTCTGTCCCGGTTGCCCCTCTTCCAGGCCAGCTCTCTGCTGTGGCCCGGGAGTGCAGTGGAGGATGGCCCAAGTGCTTGCGCCCTGCACCCCATGGGAGTCCAGGAGAAGCATCTGGCTCCTGCCATTGGATCAGCGTGGTGCGCCGGCTGCAGCGCGCCGGCCGCGGCGGCCATTGGAGGGTGAACCAACGGCAAAGGAAGACCTTTCTCTCTGTCTCTCTCTCTCACTGTCCACTCTGCCTGTCAAAATAAATAAATAAATAAGAAAAAAAATGGGGGTGGACACTCAATGGAGATGTCAACATGGGGCTTGGGATAGCCGCCTCCCATTGCAGAGTGCCTGGGCTCCAGACTCAGCTCTGCTCCGAGTCCAGCTCCCTACGGACGCACACGCTGGGAGGCAGCGGTGATGGCTCCTGTACTGAGTCCCTGCCACCCATGTGGGAGATGTAGATTAAATTCCGGGATCCTGGCTCAGGGTTGGCATCTGTCTATTTCTATCTGTCCATCTCTGTCTGCCTTTCAAATAAAATAAAAATAAACAAGTGAAACAATGTTTTAAAAGGTATTTAACAAGGCACCAGAAGACGCAGGACACTGGGATAATGGTTCCATAGGAGCCCTGGCTGAGGAAGCGTCCCACTGTGATGACAACCCTACCTTGTGCGCCATCCATCTGGACAGCCACTTCCTGCCCAGCTTCAGAGCACAGGGAAGCCGCAGCACGGCCCAGGACTGAACTGTCCAAGCAGCCTGGACATCCCTCTGGCCGACACCTGCCTCCCTCTGGACCTGCCTCCCGAAGTACTGTTCTCGGGGGGCCACAAACACGACCCGTACACCCCAAGACCTCTGGTGACCTGTGCCAGCTGCCTGCGAGACAAACCCCAGGTGCTGGTACAACCCTTTGAGACAAAACCTCCCTCTAAGTCACTGGAATGCAGGCAGGCAGCCCAGGCCCCTTGCTGACAAGGACGAGAGCCCCCAGCCCCACCAGGAACCCACGGAACCCCTCTTCCAGCTTCCCCCTCTTACCGCAGTGCATTGTGGGAGTCTGAGAACCCATTTGCCTCTGGGTCCTTCACGATGGTCCAGTCGAAGACCAGCCCTGCCAGGGTGCTGAAGGTGTTCCCTGGAGGGGCAGACAGAAATGTGACAGGGTCCAGTGCCCAGGGCCACGGGCAGAGGAGTCGGGAGTGTCTCATTCAGGAGAGCCGTGCGCAGCACCTCCCTTGTAAACAGGTGCCAAGGCCTCTGCTGCAGGAAGAAGAAACCAAGGCAGACAGGCAGGAAGCCACGTGCTCACAGTCAGGTGACTGGGAGGGGCTAAGCTGGACTGGAACCCAGGACTGTCTGTCCCTGCCTTGCACTGCTCATGGCGGACGCAGTGTGGCAGGCACCGGTCACACTGCCCGAGAAGTCCGCACCCTCCCTCCCAGGGCAGGACTAGACGCTGAGGGATGAGGGGCAGCATCCTGGACTCTCCAGCCTCACCCAACTGTTCTTAACCTTGACTATGAGGCTCCTGGAGCCCCAGAGTGATAGGAGGGAGCCAGGCTCAGACAGCCTGAGCTCTAAGGGCCTGGCGGGCCTTCAGGGGGCCTCGGGCCCAATGTTAAGTAACACCACATGCAGGGGCTGGCATTATGGCATAGCAAGTCAAGCCTGCAATGCCGGCATCCCATAAGGGCTCTAGTTTGTACCCTGGCTGTTCCACCTCCAACCCAGTTACGTTAATGGCCTGGGGAAAGAAGGAGAAGATGGCTCAAGTGTTTGCACCCTGCCACCCAATGGATGAAGTTCCTGGTTTCAGCCTGGCCCAGCTATTGCAGCCACCTGGGTAGTGGGTCAACAGATGGAAGACTCTCTCTCTCTCTCACTCTCTCTCTCTCACTCTCTCTCTCTCTGAGAGAATCTCTCTTTCTGAGGACTCAGAACAAACAAAATCCTGTGGTTTCTCACAACTCAAAGCATTTGACCAAAATAATCTGTCTTCCTAAGAAGCAAGCCTGTGGGTGAGGCAGGCCTGGCCCAGCAGTGGTCCTCAAGGGCCAGGGGTAGCCACCCTCCTACTCCTGACATCTCTGCTGACTGCCCAAGGAGTAAGGACACACACTCGGAGGAAAAAGTGACTCAAAAATGATCTGATTATATGAACCAAAAGCTTAACCCGACTAAAAAGAGACGGACAGCAGCATGCGTAGGACTCCGGGTCACTGGCACCACATTCCTGGATGGCGGGAGCTTAAAATGGCGCAATTGCTTTGGAGAGCAGTTGGCACTGGTGCTCATTTCAGATGCCGGTATTGTGGCCACAGATTAACCCACTGCGCCACAACACCAGTCCCACTCTGCCCCTCTTGACCAAGGTCATGTTGCAGCCAAGGCAGTCTGCCCAGCACCACAGAGGCCTCCGGTGACGTGAAGGAGACAGTGCTCCTGGCCAGGGTACTGGCCTGCACCAGGAAGCTGAGTGTGGCCACCAGCCAGCCCTTCCTGCTTCCAATCACTGTGCAGAACGCCAGCTTCCCAAGGACTGCCGCCACGGAACGGGTCAGGTCTGCCCCCAGCATCTGCTGTAGCCCTGCACACACAGGCACCTGAGCAGGAGCAGCAGGCTGGGCACAGGACACACGTCAGAGGCAGTTTCTGCCTCTTCAACTTCTGGCACCAACTCCAGGTCCCTGTCTGCAGGAGCCCACGGTGGGGCACAGCAGGGATTGATGCAGGACAGCCTGACAGAGAGAGGCCACAGTCACCGAAGAGGACACTGATGGGCAGGGGAGAGGACGTCCTCACCTTCTGAGTCCAGTGCCTGGATCTTCAGCTCCAGAGGGGAGTCTTCCAGGTAGAGTTCGCGGGTGGTGGAGACGATCTGAATGCCATGGATGAGGTCCACGATGGCGTCGCAGCGCAGCACCTGCCCCGTGGCTACAGGGATGGGAAGGGGCGGTCAGCACCGAGGACAGCGCCCGGCCCACGCCCACCTCCAGGACCCTGCAGCAGGCCCGGTGATCCTATGCTCTTGCAGTGACTATGGCAACCAGCAACACATCACCATCACCACCACCACCACAGGTGAAGAACTCAGTTCCCCTGTAGAAGCCAAGCCCAAACCACTGCCTGGAGAGCCCTCCTGGGAGCTAACTGGGACCTCAGGGGCATTTTCCTGGCCTGTCTCCTCTTCTCCAGCTTGAATGCTAGCACTGAAAGGTGTGTGGGAAAACAAACAAAATAAAGCAAGCAAACAAACCCACCGCTAGAAAACTGTCAGTTTGTTCAAGGTGTGACCATGGAGTTGAACAAGGCTGACAGTGTGACGAGCCAGGGAAGTCCTGTCCCTACATGGAGAGCAGGAATGACACTGCTGGTGACTTCACCATGGGAGCGGGCGTGGACACACAGACTATTTAGGGCTGCTCCAGGAATAAGGGACGTAGATGACATTTCCTGGGTGGCAGCGTGCAACACAAAATTGCTCTAGCCGTTCTCCAGCCATACAGAAAAATGCTGTGCCCTGTTAATGCTGTGTGGCCCCTGTGGATCAAAGCTTTAAAGGTACCCATCTGCTGGGACCCAGGAAAACTGGGCATCCTTCCTGGTAAGGAAATAGCCCAGAAGAACCCCAAATTGTTCTCTGTATAGAAAATGTTCACTTTATTTATTTTCATTGTATTTGAAAGGCAAAGAGACACAGAGATTTTCCTGGACTCCACTGGCTCATTCCCCAAAACAGTCGGGGCTGGACCAGGCCAAGCTAGGAACCAGAACTCCATCTGGGTCTCTCACAGGATGTCAGGAATCCAAGTACATGAGCCACCCGCCGCCTCCCAGGGGCACAGTAACAGGAACCTGGATCAGAAGCAGAGCTGGGACTAAACCTAGGCACTTTGAAAAGGGATGCGGGCATGCCAGGCAGCACCTTAACTCCCACCCCCAGAACATTTACTTTTAGATACAACACTGACACAAACATGCAAAGACGATCTAACTGCCCAAGGCAAGGGAATGCTTATGGGACCACCTCCTCTGAGGAACACCACTGAACATTCAAAATAACCCCACAGCAGATTGAACACATATAGTGCACGGTGGGTGGCACAGATGCTCGGTAGCACATCACATCGTTCTCTAATTATTTTACACCCAAGATATGGCAACTGAAGATAGGGAAGGGAAAGGTGAGTTCCCTAGACTGGGGCCACTTTCCTCATTTTGAGCTTGTAGGTGTTAAGACTTTTGGGGTAACAAACAATTCAGAAAGGCAGGCTCCACGAGGGGGAACCCACATGAACAGCTCACACAAAGCCCTTACTGATGTCCTCTGCGAAGATGATGCTGGTCAGGCGGGCAGGTTGGGTCAGGCGGGCCTGCACCACTGCCTTCTGGGAGCACTGGTGCTCGTTGGGGCCCAGGGGCTCTATGCTGGCCACCTCCGGCCGGGTGGACGACCTGCAGCAAGAATACGGGAACTCATCCTCCTGTAAGGCATAGCTGGGCCCATGGGCAGCTCCCCACCTGAGGCTCCATCCCAGACCCAAGCCCAGAAACCAGGTGAATGAGCAGCCTCACACCAGCTTCACAGCCGAGAAGAATCACAGCACAGGTGAAGCCCCTCCGACATGAGCACCACAGGGCATGGGTCTCAGCCCACCGTCCCCATGGAGCAACTCCTGTGGGAGGCTTACACCCAGAAACAGCATTAGGGTTCAACACATGGGCACTGCTCGAAGCCACCCTAAGATGCAGAAATAACGTGATCACCTCTCAACTGCAGGAGATCCGTTACAAGACCCCCAGTGGCTGCCTAAAACCGTGGGTAGCACCAAATCCTGCATCTGCTGCATGTTCTCCTGTATGTACACACACCTATGATAAAGTTTATAAGCAGGCATAGCGACAGCTGACACTAACATGGACCAGTTATAACCATATACTATAATAACGATTATTTAAACTCATCAGCTGACTGTTTCTGAAGTCTCTCATTGGACTGTTTTTGTCAGCAACCAAATGTCCCTGAAACCACAGAAAGCAAGTGGCAGATGTGGGGGCACCATCGTGACCACCACAACTCTGTCACTGGGAAAACTGCTCGCGGCAGTCAGCGAGGCAATGCCGTGTGTGAGGAGGATGCGGGCATCTTGGCTGACTCCCAGCCTGGGTCAGGCACACAGATGCCTGCTAGGCAGTATCTCCACTCCCAAAGGATCCCACAAACCCTAGAGACCCCCCAGCTGTGATGAAGACCACTGACATATAGTCCCAGCACTCCCAGGGCAGACACTGAGGCTGAGCTGGGAGAAGAAGAGGCCAGCGAAGGACCCAGATGGCCAACAAGATGACCGAGCAGCAGTATGGTCACGGGGTGGGGCGGAGTAGGGGGAGCTGCCTGGCTCCAGTGCCTCAGTTTCTCTGTAACACTAGAAAACACCAGCGTCCAGTCTGAGATAAGGACCAGGGACAGAGTCCAGCAGGCATGGTGCCAAGAGGGCTGAGGAAGCATTGCTGTTACCGTAGCTCTAGATGGTGCCCAGGGAAGCCTGAGGGGTCCTATGAGTGGCTGCCATTCGGGGGTCAGGGGTAAGGCTGGGAGCCAGTAGCCAGGCAGAGCTGTGGGGTAGGAAGCAGCCAGGTGTGCTGTGCTAGGAGCCTTGCAGTGCCCGCAGGGGTGCGGGTGAGGGCACTCATCTCTGGGGTGGCACCAGTACAGCCTGCGACAGGCAGCCTCCCCAGCCTCTGTGGAGACCACCGCCACAGTCTGAGGTGTTTGTGAGGGCACCAGTGGCAACAGCCTGGTATTGAAAACCTCTGGTGTGAAACCCGCCCAAAAGGACATGGCCAAAGCTACTGGCTGGAGACCAAGGGCCTCTCCGGAGCCAGGCGGGCAATGGTGGCCTCTCCATGCACTCCTGTGGGTGCTGGCCACTCTTATGCCACCAGGCACACACCAAGCAGCCGCAGAAGCCTGCAGACCAGCAGCTGACTCTCCAGAAAGTATGCTGGGAAGGCACCTCAGGCACCAGCTACAGAAAGGAAGTGAAGCACCTGAGGCAGGCCCCCAGGGCTTCCTCTGAGAGCGGCTGGGAAGGCACAGCTGGACACGGGACACAGCCAGCTGCCCGTGATCACGCCTCTCACACCACGCCAGACAGGCTCCTGTAACGGCAGTTTCAGGACCCTCAGGTGTATGTCCAAGGCCACTAGGCTTCACACTCACACACACACACACACACACACACTTCACATATACATCCTCACAGAACTTGCACACTCCCATGCACGCTCACAGAACCGACTGGAAGTAAGAGAGCAGACCACAGAATTCATGATGATTGACGGTATTTATGGAGGCGTGGGATCCTAGGCTGGCTGTGGGGACACAGGACCTCAGTCAGGAGCCTAGCACCAGCCGCATCGTCCAGCTCAGTGGACACTCGCAGTCCATTGCCAGCTTCTAGTCTGACAAATGTGCTTGGGGTCAGGTGAGGCTAAGCAGAAGCTGGGCTCTGCACGATCTCTGCAACTTCCCTACAGGTAGAAATTTATTCCACACTCTGAAATGAAAAGCCAAAAACCAGGGGTGGAGAGGGACACAGGCAAAGCAGTGGATCCTGGGGCAGGGGCATGATCCTCCAGGGCACTCTAACGGCAGACGCACATCAGCAAGCCTCTGTCCAGACCCACACAATGCACAAGAGCAAGAGCGGACTTAGAGGCTCCTGGCTCCTGGCTTCGGATCGGCTCAGCTCTGCCCATTGCAGCCATCTGGTGAATGAACCAAGAAATGGAAGACCTCTCTTTCTCTCTCTCCGCCTCTGCCTCTCTGTAACTCTGCCTTTCAAATAAATAAATAAATCTTTTAAAAAATAAATAAAGGAAACCACTGGTCATGTAGACCACAATGGTAATAGCTGCACCACCCAGTGAGGGGTGCTCACAGCAGAGGCTACAGGGGGAGAAGGGGTCTAGGGGAACTCTGCACTTGCTACTGAACCCAAATGTGCTCTTTAAAAATGAACTGTATGGTGGGGGCTGGCACTGTGGCTCAGCTGGTTAACACCCTGGCCTGAAGCACCAGCATCCCATATGGGCACCGGTTCAAGACCCAGCTGCTCCACTTCTGATCCAGCTCTCTGCTATGGCCTGGCAAAGCAGTAGAAGAGTAGAAGATGGCCCAAGTGCTTGGGCCCCTGCACCTGCATGGGAGACCCAGAGGAGGCTCCTGACTCCTGGCTTCAGATCAGCGCAGCTCCGGCCATTGAAGCCAATTGAGGAGTGAACCAGAGGATGGAAGACCCCTCTTTCTCTCTCCTCTCTCTATGTAACTCTGACTTTCAAATAAATAAATAAATCTTAAAAAAAAAAAGAACCTGTGGCAGAAAAGGAACCCCTCACCTTCCACTCTGCTGTCTGAGAAGCAGCGCAGTGCATCTCAGCCCGTGGCCCCGGGAGCCAGGGATCTGGGCTCCAAGTCAGGGCTGCAATCCCAGCCCCTCCTCACAAATAAGCGGAGGTGGGGTCTGGCCATTGTCTGGGACACCTGCACCCTGTATCAGAGTTCTGTCTGTCTCTGCTGCTGATCCGGCACTGTGGGAGGGAACGGGTGATGTCCCAAGTATCTGGGTTCCTGCTACCCACACAGGAGACCTTCATGGAGTGTCTGGCTCCTGGCTTTGGCCTAGCACAGTCCCAGTTGTTGGGGGCATTTAGGGAGTGAACCAGCAGATGGAAGATCTCACCCTCCCTTTGACTTTGCCTTTCAAACAAGTAATAAGCAAACAAACAAACCAAAAGACAGCAACAACCTCTTTTCTTGGTCCCTAACTGCATCGAGTCCCTCTCAGATGGGGTCCTGGTCAGCACAGACAGTTCTTGGACAGAGACCTGAATTCCCCTCACAGAGCCCACTCCCTTCCATGGGCTGTCCCCAGGTGTTCTGAGGCCTCCAGAGCCTGTCTGGAAAGCCCTGTGACCACGCGGGCTACCCTGCAGGGCTGTGCTGAGGCCAGACATGCACTTCAGCTCCTGTCCCAGAGAAACGGAATGCGAGACACATGTACATCTTCTACTGCCATTATAAACAAACAAACAAACAAAAAAACAAGCAAACAACACTGAAATTCTTTTTAAACAGACTGTTGCTATTGTGTATCTATTTATCATTTATTTGAAAGGCAGAATTATAGAGAGGAAGAGAGAGTTCTTCCATCTGCTGGTTCACTCCCCAGATGGGCTTAACAGCCAGGGCAGGGCTAGGTGGAAGCCAGGAACCAGGAACTCTTTCCATGTGGGATGCCAGTGTCACAGACAGTACTATGCTACAATGTGGGCCTAAAGACTTTGTTATTAAAAAGTAGTTTTAGGGGGCCGGCATTGTGGTGTAGCAGGTAAAGCCGATGCCTGTGATGCCAGCATCCCATATGGGCGCCGGTTGAAGTCCTGGCTGCTCCACTTCCAATCCAGTTTTCTGCTATAGCCTAGAAAAGCAGTAGAAGCTGGCCTAAGTCTTTGGGCCCCTGCACCCGCATGAGAGACCTGGAGGAAGCTCCTGGCTCCTGGCTTCAGATCGGCACAGTTCAGGCCGTTGCAGCTATTTGGGGAGTGAATCAGCAGATGAAGGCCTCTCTTTCTCTCTCTGTGTAACTCTTTCAAATGAACAAATAAATCTTTTTTTTTTTTCTAAAAAAAAAGGCAGTTTTAGAGGGTGCAGGCTAAGCCACCATCTATTATACCAGCATTCCATGTCATAGCACAGGTTCAAGTCCCAACTGCTCAGTTTCCAATCCAGCTACTGCACCTGGGGAAGGCAGCAGATGATGGCCCAAATGCTTGGGCCCCTTCACCCATGAGGGAGACCAGGATGGAGCTCCTGGCTTTGGTTCAGTCCCAGCAGTTATGGCCATTTGCAGAGTGAACCAGTGGAGAAATGTCTCTGTGTGTGTGTATCTGTCTGTCTCTTTTTCTGTCATTCTGCCTTCCAAATAAATAAATAAATACACCTTTTTAAAAAAAAAAAAAAGCAGTTTTAGGTGCTCAGCAAAGCAGAGTGGAAAGTGTGGCGTTTCCACTCACTTCTGCCCCTTCCATGCGCATGCATGCACGCACACACATACACACACAAGCATACCCTGCTAGAGCGGTTCCCACACTGACATCACTGTCACTCAGCCCGCATTTCCCCCAGGGCTCCCACTTGGCCTTCTGGTCTGCAGGCATGGACAGACAGGTCACATCCTGCAGCCACCATCTCAGTTCTGAGTTGCTTCGCTGCCCTTAAAACCCTGTGCTGTCCCCACTCCCCCGTGTGTTTTAAAATCTCTAAGAAGCCACATTTTTTTTTTTTTTTTTTTTTTGGACAGGCAGAGTTATACAGTGAGAGAGAGAGAGAGAGAGAGAGAAAGGTCTTCCTTCCGTTGGTTCATCCTCCAAATGGTTGCTACAGCCGGCGC